AGAGGGCGTATTGGTGAGCGTGGCATTGGAGTGACAGGTGCGCTCCTAACTGAGTAATGCAGCAGGGGCTCGCCAGCCTGGAGAAAGCACTTGGTCATGGGTTTGGAATCCTTAGCAGGTTTAATGGAAGTAGATATGTGTGCTGTGTAGAAGAACAAGAAATTATGTTTAGGGAACTGTGTTTTGGGGTTTCAGATATTAAGAGTGGTAGAATTCTAGGTGCCAACAAGATCTGGGTGAGGGCAAGTGTTAGAGGCGGGGTGGGGTGGGGGCTGGATGGGGTTGGGTGTGGCTTTCCTGGTGGGAATTTGACACAGTGGGGTGAACCAGGATGTATGCTTCTTGGGGTGATAGGGGCTTAAAGTCAAGTTTTGTATTTCTCAGGAGGTTTTGGGGTGGTCCTTCTTGGAGGAAAAGAAGTATGGAGTGGACTAACTTTTCAGAGGCCTTGAGTAGATTGAACAGTGAGTGGTGAGGGCACGGTATGGGGGCATGGCATAGCCACAGGGCAGAGAGAGCCATTGATGAGATAAAAGATCAAACTTGGGGTGCTACCTGAAGTTCTTTGTAGGCATCATCAAGAACAGAGGAATTTATAACAAAGCTTCTTCCATGGATTATGGATGAAGACCTGTGTATATGAGGAGAGAATGGGGGAGAAATGGCTCCTGTCCTGGGGAGCCCCCAGGTTGATGGATACTTCCATTGATGACCCAAGGTGATGTTCAACTCTCAAGTTCTCCGATTCAGAGGAGGTAGAAACAGGTTATAGAGAAATGGAAATGTGATGTGAGTAGGTGGGTTTTTTTTTGTTTTTAATATGCCTATTCTGCTTGACCCATGTCAGTTACTTATAGCTCAACCTCATTCTCATTAACATTGTATTTCACTATGTAAAGAATTCCAAATTAAACCCTGTTGATGGCCATTGGGGTGTCTTCTGTTTTTCACTGTTGCCAAAAATGCTGTGGTTAATGGGTTAATAGCCTTGTACACGGAGTTCCTACACACTCTCAGGACTATTTCAGTTTGTTTTTTCTCTTTTGAGGTTTGTTTCCTCAATGCTATGTTGTGGCAGTGAACTCTGCTTGGAATCCATTCTCTCTAGTTTGGAAATGTGATTTCCAGCATGTGTTCTGTTTGTTTACCACAGTCCTGTGGTAACAACATGGGTTTCACAGAGGCAGTTACAGTGGGATCCCACCTGTACTCGCTATACTGGGTGCAAAAGCCTTGTGAGAGTTTTGAAGCCTTTGATGAAGACGGCGGGAAACGGGGTTGTACAGTGTTTTACATAAAAGCTGAAAGAGCTGTTGTGCCCCGGGCACCTGGGGTGGCAACATTGTTCCTCCCCGGCTTCTCTCTCGTGTTCTTCGAGCCTTCCCTGTGTAGACTCTGAGCCAGAAGGATGCCAGTGAGGTCCCAAGCCCCTCACCTTCCTTGAGGCTGGGGGTAGGACACCTGAACGCTGCCCGATACAGCCCCGACTCTAGAGCCTTCCTCTGAACTCCCCAGAAGAGTTGACACAGCGCCCTTGCCCAGATCCCTGTCTACAAACCAAACGTTCCAGCCACTGGTCTGCATAGCTGCCTATTTCTCGAACACCTCAAAGGAATGTGGGTTTGAATTGAGATCACCTTCTTGGCCAGCTTTGGAGCCTGGGAAAAAAAAGCTGCCTTTGGAAAAAGCTTTAGCTGGTTTTGTGGTTTGTTACTTGCAAGGCCGGTTAATGGTTGGGCTGAGCTTGGAGGTTGTATTCCCCATAGGAGGGCTCAAGCTGGGAGCCCTGGGAGCTGGGAGAACTAGCGCCGCTCTCCGGTGTGTGTTTGTGGTTTTAACTGGGCTCCCCGCTGCCCCCTTCCAACCCCCACCCCAACCCCCCAGCCCACCCACCGCAGCAGAGTGCATCTCTCTGACTAATTGGCCAGGGATTGGGAGGGAGCTGGTGTTCCTGCCAGCAGCTGTGACTGGACAGTGCAGTTGCCTTTTATTTACTGCCACCCACTCTCATTCTCCCCCTGCCTGAGAGAGAAAGGAACACTGTGTTTTAGTTTTGTGATGCTGTCCCAGTAGCTCATGACTGGGTACATAAGAGTTAAGTGAAGAAGCTAGAGTAGAGGCAGAAGAGGGGCGTGAGGTAGAATTTGTTGGACAATCTGGTTTCTTTTCTCTAACTATAGGGAAGATACTTAGAGAATCAGTCTCTTTCTTTGTACACACACACACACACACACACACACACACACACACACACACACACA